AAAAAAAAAAAAAAAAAAACTTGAGAGAAAAAGAATACCCAGAGGTGTGAAATAAAAATCAGCTCTAGGTGATAACACTATCTGTACTATTTCCTTTCCAGTTTTATTGATTTTTCAGATTTCCACCATAAAAATTTGAATTTATGCTCAAAAAATACAAATTAAAATTTTTAATAAATAATTTTACAGTAAGACACAAAAGAGATCTTTCTAGAATTTAATAAACTTAGTCATTCTATGTTATTACTGGTATTTGGATTCCCAGGTTTCATGATTGCAAAAGGCAGGGATGGGATGTGAATGGGCAGACAATTATTCAGTTCTTGGTTTCTTTTCCTTTGATTTGTTTACAATGGAATATTTGCATGTTTTCTCCAAGGACGTTGTACCTTCTTGCTGGCCAAGACATCCAGGTCACAGCAGATTCGGGCACGTGTGGAAGAAGGTTGGATGATGTCATCCACAAACCCTGGTGAAGCACAGAAAAGGGAGTGGATCATCTGCACCCCCAGATGATGCCTCCCCTCAACCTTCTGCTCAGCCTGGGCACCATCCCTAGGGCCAGCAGTATGAGCAGCGCCCAACCTAATACAGAGAGGGTAGGCCCCATGAATCTTCCCTTGCATCCCAGCAGCTGGCCTGTTCTGACAGGTCCCCAACTTCTGGCCTAGAAGCATTGGGCAAGAAAAGGAAAATTTGACACGTTCCCTGTACCCTGCTTGCTCCAATGCCTCTATCCTGCCACAATTAATTCAATAGGAAACACAGTTAAGAAAACATATCTAGATTTTCAAAAATGGCTACAACAATTCCTCCTATCCTTGTACACAGTCCTGCAACATGACTTTACCACTTCTCTCATCAAGAGGTGAATTTGTATTCCTTCACTTAACCTTGTGAGTTTCTTTGGCCAATAAAATGTGGCAAAAATGACACTGTGCAACTTCCAAACCTAGGCCTCAGCTTCCCTTTGCCCTCTTGCTACTCTCGTGACAACATGTAAGGAAGCCTGGACTAGCCTCCTCAAGGGTGAGAGGCCAGGTGGAGAGAGAGTCTAGCTAACAGACAGCAACTACCAAGTAAGTGACGCCATTCTGGACTGTCAAGCCCCAGTCAAGCCACAGAATTGACTAGAGCTGTGTGGGTGATCCCAGGCAAAACCAGCAGAAGAACCAGTAAGCTGGGCCCAGACCAAACTGTGGACCCCACAGAACCATAAGCAGAGGAGAAAATGGTAGGTAGTTTAAGTCGCTGAGTTACAGGGTGGATTGCCGCACAGCGCTAGATAACTGAAACAACACCTAGAAATTTAATACACTTGGGCAATGTTGTTTTAATCGTGGTTACCAAAGCAGCCTGTCCCACTGTTCTTAGTCCTAAGTGATGACTACCCAGGGACAGCCCCAACCCTCACTAGTCCACAGATTAGACTGCAAAGGCAAAAAGGCAGTTATGTGACACTTTCTGTAGAGAAAGAATGAGCAAGTGACCAAACAAACAAAGCTGCCCTCTCCGCCTCGGTCCCACCTCTCACTGCTGCAGGGAAAGGGTTGGCAAACTTCTCGATGTACTCTGCCTGCGCAGCTTCCACATTCTCGTGCCCTTTGAAGATGATCTCCACAGCACCCTGTGATCAGAGGAGTTCATGAACGTCACTGATGGTCCCAACCTGGACAGACCTCCTTCAACCCATTATCACTGTGTATGGCTGCAAATTTCTTGGTAAATCAGTGTACCGGAGGGAAGTGCCAGCTCTAAAGGCCAGAGCATAGAGGGAGGCACTGCCTGGGGCTATCAGGACACAAGGGGCTGCATGATGGGATGGGATGCTTCCTTGTGGCCTCAATGAGGGGCAGTCAGGCAAAAGCCAGTAGCTTCTCTCCCTAGAGCCCATTCTACCATCTCCATTTGCACTCATCATACTTCTTTGAGCCAAAGATGTTAGCCCTGTTTTCCATTATTAAATGCACTGTCTCTTATCAACGGGAATTTAAAGCGCTATTTCCCTTTTTCAGTACCATGAGACCTGAGTATACAATTCGGTGGCCAGGGTGAACTGGAAATTAAAAGGATCGGCCTTCAAGTCAGAGCTCATATAAGTCAGCTCTGAGGGGACCTGCAAGTTAATCTGATTCAACCACAACAGCTACTTCAAAAGCAGGGAAGGAGTGAGGAATAGGTCAAGCAACATGAAGCACCTTGTCTAACGTCACCAGGGTCAGACCTACAGTTCAGCTTCTTAAGAGCTTCAAAGAAGCTGGGGCCCTCCCTGAAAGCTGAGGTGGAGTGGGAGAATGTCCAATCCTCCTAGAGGTGACTTCAGTTGACTCAACCCTTTGCCCCTTTTACTTACAATCCCAAAACCCACTCTGGCCCCACTCACTTTCCTTTCACCTGCCCTACCCACCTTGGCATGAAGACACCAGTGTGGGCCTGAAGAAAGGGTGCAGGACAGGAGGCAGAGCTATCTCTGGAGCCCCAGGAAAGAGACTTGCCAAGGTCCAGGCCCCACTCGCCTCAGTCCTGGCTCACCTAGGGGGCCCGGCCTCTCTCCAACATGCCTTGAGCTCTGGCTGGGAGAGTACAGTCCTTGGATCCGGAAAGGGAAAAGCTGAAGGCCCTCACCTTTGCTCCCATGACTGCAATCTCTGCTGTGGGCCAGGCATAGTTGGTATCACCGCAAAGGTGCTTAGAGCTCATGACATCGTAGGCACCTCCATAGGCCTAAAACGGATCCAAATGCTGAATGTTAGAGCCTGAGACAACCAGCTCATGTCCCTGAAAGACCCCAGGAAGCCAGGTAAAATGGGGACAAAAAACAAGAATGGCCCTCCTGGGCTCCTGAAGGCCCATGGTCTGGAAGGCCTTTCAAAGTTAATACTCATTATCTTTTCTGGCTTTTTCCCACATGGCTTTTAGTTCCCTGTGTTAAAAGACCACAGACATCTCTACAGAGTTTGGGAACAACGTCCTCAAGAGATCTTCTTAAGGATGAGCAAGATGTACTCCTTCCAGTCCTGGTAAAACTCAGCCAGACCTCCCACCACGATGATGCTGTAGGAAACGGAGCAAGGTCATGGCATCCAACATGAGGTCCTCACCTTTCTGGTGATGATTGTGACTTTGGGCACAGTTGCCTCAGCAAATGCGTAGAGAAGCTTGGCGCCATGTCGGATGATGCCCCCATATTCCTGTGCTGTGCCTAGGCATGAGGAAGAGTTACGAGATACTCACAAGTACTCACATGGTTTACCAGCCACTCTCAGCTGTGAGGTTTTTTCCACCTCTGGAGAGGGCCATTCCTTACATAGCCCTATCTTCTGGACACCCAGAATATATGGAGAAGTCACAAGTCCTCAGGGAGTTCCGCAAGATCTCCAAATAAAGTGGGTGCCTTACTGGGCAAAGTCAATTCTCTTAGCCCCTATTCTGTCAATGACTTACCAGGTAGAAAGCCAGGGACATCAACAAAAGTGATGAGTGGAATATTGAACGCATCACAGAATCTGACAAAACGAGCCCCTTTCACAGATGAATTAATATCCAAGCATCCTAGAAAGAAAAAGATTATCCATACTGAGTATCCAGGCAATTCCCAGTTCTACCCACAATGGGAATTTGTTTTATAACATCGGGTAAGTTTCCTAAGGCCTCCCCAACCATATAGAACTGTGAATCAATTAAACCTCTTACCTTTATAGAATACCCAGTCTCAGGTAGTATCTTTATAGCAGTGTGAAAACAGATTAATACAACCATTAACCCCCAAAAAGCCCAAACTCCAAAATACTTAGGTATAAACCTCGCAAAACACATACAAGATGTATATGAGGAAAACCATAATTCTTTTTTTTTTTTTGAGACAGAGTTTTGCTCTTGTTGCCCAGGCTGGAGTACAATGGCATGGTCTCGGTTCATCACAACCTCCACCTCCTGGGTTCAAGCAGTTCTCCTGACTCAGCCTCCCAAGTAGCTGGGATTACAGGTATGAGCCACCACGCCCAGCTAATTTTGTATTTTTAGTAAAGACAGGGGGTTCTCCATGTTGATCAGGCTGGTCTCGAATTATTGATCTCAGGTGATCTGCCCACCTCAGCCTCCCAAAGTGCTGGGATTACAGGTATAAGCCACTGAGCCTGGACTTTTTTGAAAAAAAAATACATATATATTTTTTAGTTATTAACATTATTATTATGTTTTTCTTTTTTTTTTTTTTTT